GGCGGGGTCAGTTTACGGTTTGGTGTTGGTGGGGGGCAGGTGTTTTTCTGTGATCTTTGTGGCGGTCACTAATGTGTCGCGGTCGCCTCTGGCAGTCTGCATCTTGTTGTTGAGCCGCACAGTTATCTAATGGAAGGTCTCTTGGAGATGATCATTGTAGCCACATCTGTTGGGCAAGCGGACGGGAGTTGGGAGATTATGGATACCATGGTGAGGGCGATGACGGTGGGGATTGGGGCTGGGGAGGATGTGAGGGATGTGAGGCATGCTTTTGTTATTACGGGGGGGAGCGATAAGAAGTTGAGGTATTGGGATTTGGTGAGGGTGGATAATAGTGTGATTTTTAGTGGGTTGATGCCCGAGGATGGGAGGTTGGGGTATTCTACTAGTCATCCGACTGCCAGTATGACGCTGCATACGGAGCGGCCGCCGAATCAGAAGGAGAAGGGGGGTGGGGGGACGAACGGGCCGGCGGCGGCGAATGGGGGGACGGGGTTGGCGGGAGATGTTGAGCAGCCGGTCAAGAGGGTGAGGCAGGCGAGGAGTACGGTTGTTTCGGCGGAGCAGCAGGGGTTGTTGAGGAGTCATATGGACGCGGTGATGGATGTTATCTGGTTGGAGTCGCCCTATCCGATGACTGCGAGTGTGGATAGGAGCGGGACGATCTTGTTGCTGCAGTAGGGGCTATGGTTTGAGACGGAGTCTGCGATGATTATTTAGCCCAGAGATGAAATAATACCTTTGCTTAAGAAGGACCTTCGCCTGTGTCTATTTTAAGTTGGAGAAACTATAGACAGAATCGTGCAGCACTGGACAAATGGAATGCTGGAGTACAGCCCCGTTTAAGCATAAGGGGGCGGGTGAGGGTTAGGGTCAAGACATGTCGTTGCCAGGCGGTGAGTGCTGAGGCTCCACAATTTATTTTGCCGCTCAGCCTTGTGGAGCTTTTTGGGAATGGGTGTGTGGTTGTTGCGCCTGCCGCGTCCAAAGTGAACTTGCACGCGACAACGATCTTGATATCTTGGAATTGCGAATTGCGACTCGCTGATTACAGCAATTTTATCGCCCGCTACGACTTTTACCTGCTGCGCAAACACGGAATCGAGAAAACAGTCAAGATAATCACCACCACCAAAAGTCAACAAACCAGCTAGAGGATCAAACCATCAAAATGAGGCTAACCCCCGACCTCATCGCCTCGTCCCTCTCCTACCTCAACCCGCTCAAAGAGCGCGAGATTGACCTCCGAGGTACGCTTTTTTTTTTTCTCATCTGAAAAGAACAGATACTGTCCACACTTGAGCTCGGCTTACCTACCACACACCCTCCCGTAAAAAAAGGCCATAGAATACCCGCCATCGAAAACCTCGCCGTCGCCGGCCCGCACGACTCGATCGACCTGACCGATAATGACATCCAACTCCTTGGGAACTTCCCCTTGTCGCCGCGGGTGAGGACGTTGCTGCTGGCGAGGAACAGGATCAGCGCCATCGCGCCGGGGGCGGTGCAGAGCCTGCCGAACCTGAGGAATTTGAACCTGGGGGAGAACGAGATTAGGGAGCTGGGGGATTTGGACGTGCTGGGGAGGTGGGGGGGTTTGGTGCACTTGTGTCTCGGGGGAAATCCGGTTGTGAAGAAGGAGCATTACCGGTATTGGGTGCTTTGGCGGTGCCCGAGTGTGAGGTTTTTGGATTATCAAAAGGTGAGGGAGGCGGAGAGGGAGAAGGCCAGGGAGTTGTTTGGGACGGTGGAGGAGCCGAGTGAGTTGGCGCAGAAGGTGGGTTATTATTCTGTTGATGGGTATGGCGGGGGAGGGTTCAGGCTGACTGGGAAACAGATTATGGGCATCAAGAGCAAGACGTTCGATTCGACGACTACTTCGGGAGGCAAGGGTGGTGGACCGGGTGGTGAGATGTCTAAGTTGTCGAGACTGAAACTGACGGATAAGGAGAAGAAGAAGCTTCAGGAGTTGATCAAGAAGGCGAACTCGTTGGAGGAGATCAACAGGCTGGAGAAGGCGCTGTTGGAGGGGAGGTTGCCGCCTGGGATTATTGTTGAGGATGGGGATGCTATGGAGGAGTGAGGGTATGACATTGAGACAAACCGAGGGGAAACGGGTGTCGTTACTGGAGTCAGACGGCCACCGGAAAAAAAAATGTGATTGGGAAAGGAGATACCAAAATGTATAGAATAATGTTCAGAGCGGGTGGTACATGGTCAGAATTCGACTTGTATATTGTGCCCATGTCTGGTCGTTGCCAGACGTAACTACCGGCACTCCCCGTGCTGAGACATCACTGGGACAGCACCTTTCTCTGCCTGTGGGCTCCGTCCCCACCATTTCCTTTTACCTCTGGTCATGCACGGCGCTCTCTGTGCTGAAATAAAACTAGGACAGCGGTTTTCCTTGCCGTTTCTTCATTTGCCTTTTCCTTTTGGTGAGAAAGAACAACCGCCATGGCAGCAGCAGCGGCGAGAGCATTTCTTGAGATAAGCTAGACACACACAAGCATTAACGCATGATGCCTTCGTCGCAGAATATATGAGCATACCTCCATCGAGGCCACCCTCGCGGGCATCAGGTTTTCTTTGCTTGGCCGCTGGCTGGGGAAGTTTTCTTTTCATCATCAGAGAGATTGTTTATGATGATGACGATCAAGAGGGCAATTGATAAGAAGGCATTCAGGACCGTAAGGAAGGTGAAAAGATCATCAGACATGGTTGCTGAAGCTCTGGGCGGTAACTCGTGGAGAAGTGGAAAAAGAGAATGTTGGATTACTGGAGTTTTGCGCTAATATTGTTTTGACAAACACAAGCCCGGTGGTAGGGGCTTGACGCCACAGTGGAAAGGGTTGTTTTACTGGGTCTTGATCACCTCCTGCCTCCCACGCTTTTGACTGGGTCACAGTGATAGGAATAAGGTCAGTTATGGAAACCATGAAAAAGAATGGAAAGCAGGAACTGCTCTTGATGACGCAAAAAGTATGAAAATACACGCATCTTTGGATAAACGCTACAGGACACATACCGGGTTCTTTCTCCAACAGCGACTTCCTAGCAAATCTCCACCAGCCGTTGATTCTTCGGAAACGAAGTAGGCGATTGTGAGCTCGAGGAAGCCGTCGGGGCAACAGCCAGATCGGGTTGAGGAGGGTTTGGACACGTTGCTTGGTTGGTAGCGGGCTCGGTAGGAGTGTCTGGTTCGGAATTCGGTGAAGCTTCTGGGTTGGCCTTGTCATCACCACCATCCGTCTTGGTGTTTTTGTTGCCACCTCTTGTCTTCAACTGGACCCAAGTTATGCGCCAAGGGAAAGCTAGGACTAAGGCCAGGATAATACGATACTGTTGCAAAGTGTGCAGTACTGGTGCACGCCCCAACGGCTGGTCGTGGGAATGGGTTTGACGATCTCAACTTGGGTGATTCCGGTTGGGGATGTAATGGGGTGGTGGTTCTGGCGGGTTCTGGCGCGATAGATAGCGTCACCGCAAGGTGAACCTCGGTGATGTACCTCGCCTCCTGGGTGTTGAAACCGGGGCCTGTGCATGTTGTGGTGTATCGACTATAGTGATGTGTTTTGGCTGGTTCAGTTGCGAATCGTTGAGGTGGCTGTCCACACATCACCAATGTCCTAAAATATGGTTGATAGGCATATATTACTTGTCAATACGCCTTCAAACATAGTAAATAAGCATTAAAGGACATCAATACATTACCAAAGATAGTCATAGGCCTTTAAAGATGATTAATAGGTCTTGAAAGATAGTCAATATGCCTTGAAAGATAGTTAACAGGCCTTTAAAGATAGTCGATAGGTGTTTAAGTTAGTATTAAAGGCGTACAAAGTATCTTTAAAGGCCTATTGATTATGTTGTAAGGGGTTAATGTCTTAGTGTAATTTCTATATTTTATGTTTGATCCCCCCAAGGGTATTACCATCTACAAGCTCTAAGAATTCAATGGTAGTACTATGCGAGGGAGAGAACAGCTGGGACTCGAAAGTGTTCCTTCCTACTTGCCACACCATAACGAGACTTGCCGTACTCCAACAGAATATTTCGACTCAGGCTAGCAAAGACCTTCCCACTTTTTAATATTCCCCTTCCGCAAAATAATCTCCCAATCCTGTCTGGTCCGGTTGCGATTTGGCTTGCTGTGCTGGCGTTGACTTCGAAATTTTGGGGGGGTGGTTCTATATGTTGTCCATGATATCTTTCGCAGCCGATCCTGGTGGCCCTGAACTCTTCTGTCTTCCCCTAAGGTAGATGGCTATAAAGCGAGTAATCAGAAAATCCAAAGCTGGCGATGTATGGGTATACGTCTGCCTCGTTGGGTTTTCCTTTCTTGACAAGATCTCAATATCTTTCCTTAACAAGACCGCCGGCCAGCCTTAAGCCGTGCTATTGAGCAAGATGGCGATGATGAAGTGGACCGGGATCAGGCCAATCGAAATGATGATTGCAGGCATGGAGCATGACGGGGAGCCAAGCCTATTCCCGACGAATTCAATGAGGAGCACGGTCTAGTTGAGATTGACATTGTCAACTTTGGCGTAACCAGACAACTAGCCAGGGCCGAGAACGACAAAGGCTTGACATTACCTTGTTCCTCCTTCTCGATAACGCCGTCAGTGCATGTTGCCACGTGTTGGGGAAGAAAAGAATGCACAGTTACCTGCCTTCTCGTTGGGTTTCTCCGGGCAAGCCATTCCAAGACGAATCTCTCTCCCAAACGTGCGAGCAGGGACCAGAGGGGCAGCCTGCTAAAAAACTGCAGGAACACCCGGGACATCGCGGCATACACTACTTCACTGGGCCGGAGAATTCGGTGATTATGGCTGTGCCTCTCGGTCAGCCGCAGGCAGTAGGCTAAGTCGCCCATCTTAGAGCCAGGTATCGATGACGGAGGTATATACACCAATGTCTGCTGTGGGTAGTCCAGGGCTGCCATTAGCCGGAAAGGTCAGGGGCCCTAGCCGTGATTATCTGAGTCGAGCGTCTTTCTCACGAACCGAAAAGGGTGCATGTAAAATTCCATCTGGTTGCGTCGGTGAATTTGTTCAAAGTACCCTCCGATAGCGACAAAATCCACCAGGCGGACCATGGGAACTTTGACCGCAGGGTCATACTTCTTTCGCCGGTGCCGCATGTCCATGCGTAAGGCTGCTGGGTCCGCAAAATATTTCCATCGCAACGACATTTATAGCAAGTCTGGAGCATGCAAGCCGAGGTGCGGATTCTCAGTCTGAAATCTTTCGAGAATGTCAAAGGCCTCTCTTGAAGTTGGCGGTTCATTTTGAAGATAGGCATCAGAAAGAAGTCTTGCGTTCCTGGGTTCGTGATGTTGATGATAGACATGGGGTAATTGTCATTGACTGTTGGATTTCCCGTGCAAGATCCAGTTTCGTTATCTCTGGGAGCTTGAGTTCACGACCGGTTTGGAATCTGCTAGCTAAGGTAGCCTCTTGGATTCTGCGGACAAGGTGAATTGTCCCCAGGGCTTGCGTTTGTTTGGACGAATGACGAATAACTTGAAGTTAGGGAGAGCATGATCCCTGTACAGGTGGGCGTGAGGTATCGCGAATTTAGTCGTTTCACCGGTTCCGACATCTCTTTTCCCGAGCCCAAAGCTCTTCCCAACCAGGTGATGTGACAGCGGCGTCCTCTGCTTGGTTCTCAGTGTTGCCAGTGAAACCATCTCTGCCGACTGGGGCACAATATCCTCGGACTATGCACAGCAAATGGCAAAGCAGCAGTTGGCTGGCTGTTCTGGAATCCGGGTCGAGTCGAACTCAATGTCAACTTTGAGTTCTTTGTGTTCCCCTAAGATACCTTAAAAGACAGTGTACATACCTTAAAATATAGTTTACCTGCCTTAAAAGATGGTTTGTATACCTTAAAATATAGTCTACAGGCCTTTAATTAAGGTCAATATACGTCCCAGGATAGCTGATAGGCCTCCTTAATAGTGGAAATGGCATTGTCTTAAAGTCGAAACACATAACGCTGCAAATGAGAGCTGCGACCTAGCTGGCTCGAAGTAAGGTTATGATATCGGACGCAAGAGCACCATCTGCAATTTTCGACTGAAATTGCAACAATTGACCTCCACTTCCACCCTTCCAGCCCCGGAGCCCCCGCTTCCTCCGAAATACCGGAGCGGGACCGGCTGTCGTCCAACGTGACTCCACCCCTCCGGCCATGGCACCGGACACTACGGTTAAGCCCTGTTCACTCTCACCCAAGGGTTAGGGTAAAACTTCACCATCGCAACCATCTGATAAGCATTTTTTGGCTTATCACAACCGTTGCGCAGCGCAGTGAGGGGCATCTTTTCACAAAAAGTTTTCAAGGCTCGGTCCTCAAGGTTCCCCCCGCAAATTGAATATCACATCCCTCCGTCCAGTCTGCGCGGCACCAGCAGACAGACTTGTCGCATTCACCTTTTCGCCCCCCCAACCAAACAACCACCCCAAATCCACAGCAACAGCAACAGCAACAGTCGAAATGGGCAAAAAGCGCACCAGAAACCCCGACGACGACGTCGCCATGACCGACGAAGTCCCCGCGCAAACCAAGAAGAACAACAACGGCGGTGATAGCTCCGACTCGGACGATGTTTGTCTCCCATCCCCCCTTCCTCCTTTCCCCGCCCATTAACACCCCTCCCCCCTAGGACATGGACATAGTAAACGTGGACTTCGAACTCTTCAACTACGACCCCACAATCGACTTCCACGGCGTAAGAACCCTCCTCCGCCAGCTCCTCGACGCCGACGCCTCCCTCTTCGACCTCTCCTCCCTCTCCGACCTCATCGTCGAGCAAAACACGGTCGGCTCCACCTGCAAGGTCGACGACAAGGCCAACGACGCCTACGCCTTCCTCACCGTACTCAACATCCAAGAGCACTCCCCCACCAAACCCGTAGTCAAACAACTCGCCGAGTACCTCGCCGATCGCGCCACAAAGTCCCAAGATGAAACCCTGGCCAAGGTCGTGCCCGAGGTGTTGCTTGGAGAGGGGAAACAACAGGTCGGGTTGGTCCTGGCGGAAAGGTTACTCAACATGCCGGCCGAGGTCATCCCGCCAATGTGGAGCTGCATGATTGATGAGATTGAGGCTGCGGTCGAGGACAAGGAGCCGTACGAGTTTACGCATTATCTTGTGCTTTCAAGAACGTACCTCGAGGTGGAGTCAACGTTAAATCAGACAGAGAGGAAAAACAAGAGGTCAAAGGCGACGGGGGAGCTGCAGTATTTCCATCCCGAGGACGAGGAGATGAGAAAGTTTGCGACGGCGGCGGGAAGTTTTGAGTACACAAAGGAAGGACAGGCCGCGGTGGCGGATAGCAAGCGCGCGTTCCAAGAGATGGGGATCAAGCCGGTGGGCTTCATGATGTTGATTGAGGCGGAGAAGTTCCCCAAGGCTGTCCAGGGGATCACAGAGTATGTGGCCACTGGCGGGATGTCAATGGAGATTTCATAGGGAAAAAAGATGATTAATATATACTTTTATTTATTGCTCCCTGATCAAAGCCAAAGGAAGTCCAACGCTATGTTCTTGGTGAGTAGTAGTGACAATCATTGCTGTTCGGGTTCGAGTCGCTGCATGAGGTACTCTACCTCGACTTCCTTTGTCAGGGGAATGACAAAGTCTTCGTACATGGACACAACAGCCTCAACGTTGATCTTGACCTGCTCAGCAGCGTCTGGACCTTGGAGCGAGGGATCGGTGCCGTAGTCTGCGCCTTGAGCTTGAGACGCTCCAACACCTTCTTCTCAACCGCCTTGTTCGTGATGGCCTCACCGATTCCGTCCCGGTCGCCAGCCCGGATCAACCTCGTGAACTTCTCCGTTTCCGACACAAACTTGGACTCGGCAACAAACTTGCCAAAGTGAATCCGCCTGGAAAGTGCTTGCAGGCAAGCAATGTCGCACGTGGCGGATGAGCCGTAGTTCTCCTGAGAAACACCCCTGTCCTCGCGACCAAAGTCGCGGCAGACCTTTGGAAGGAAGTTCTCTGTGTAGAACTGCTTGATCTTGTCGTTCACACAGACATCGTTGGGGTAGAGAATTGGAGGGTAGTCGAGTGGGTCGAGGATTGGCTTTTGGACGGCATCAGGGAAGAAAGGGTACTCGTCCGGTGACTCAAAGCGGCGGATGAGGGATTGGAGTTTTTCCTGTTCCCGAAGGTACCAGTCCATGAAGCTCAATTCCGAGTTTGGGATCGGAACTGCTCCTGGGACGTAGATGTTTTTGTTAAGAGGGAACTGGACACGCTCAATCAGATGAAAGGTGATGGTATCCTCGAGACGACTGGGGGCTTGTTAGTTACTTGTGACCAAGAAGGCTAGGCGGGTAGACTGACATGAGCTGATAGCGGATGTTCGTGAGATCCAGGGCCTTCGACCGGTCTGAAAGATCGATGATGGTGTCCATTTTGAAATGAGAGTATCTTCTTGTCTGCCGAAGAAAAGGGGCAGTTGTTTTGATGTTTGAAGGGGAAAAGGAACGACGAGAAGCCGACGTTAATGGTACAATGAACGTGAGATGCGCCCAAGAACAATGCTACCCAACCGGTGAAAGCAGGCCAGTGTAGGTGTGGTGCAAGTCGCGATTTCCAAGTCGTAGACCCAAAACTCGAAATCGATGACTCCTTTTTGAATTTGGATCACACAACTGCCGGTCTGAGCGGGTACCTGCTTCCCTCAATCAAAACGTGGATGAACCACGGGCTTGGAGTCAAGAGAGGCAGGGAGTGGGTGGGTTGCTGCCGCGTGGTTCCGATCGCGGGGCCGAATATACCCCAGTGACGCACCCGGCAGCGGTGGCGGGGTTCAATGACAGCTTTCCCCTGACCAATGTAACCTCAGCATTCCCCGACGACCCCCACTTTTACTGCCCGAATCGGCTGTGTCACCTTCCGCTTGACCTTGGGGTTGCTGTGTGAGAGCTGAAACGGCAGGCGGCGGGAAGAAGGTGAAGGCTGAGGTGAAGGGAAGGTGAAGTTCAAGGTGAGGCTAAGAAACCTCGGACGAAATGAAGGTGGAGGCGGCGGTAAAGAGATGGCCGGCCGGGACCCTAGCACTGGTGAAGTGTTCAAGCCCTCTTACTGTGACGTGGCAAGTCCCCTCAACACACAGAAAAGCTACAAGCTCAATGGTATCAAATATGCCAAAGAAATCGGGACTATCACTGAGGTAAAGATAGAGTTTGGTCGTGGACTACGACGGAAGTGGTCGCGTGCCGTATGTGTTGATCATGGGAGGGAACGACTCTGTATGGATAATGACAAGGCTGCCAGAATTGGCTGATGTTTGTGCTCTTCTTCAGTATCCATCTCTGGCTCTCCACGTGAAAGAACCCAAAGGAAACTTTTGAATCCATCCGTCGGCTTGCATGAATGAAAAAGATTGCTTCAGGGGAGCCGGTAAATTGATAAGACCTCGATGCTACTCTGGTGGAGGTTTCAAAGGGGAGAGGGGCTGATTCCATATCTTGACTAAACAGCATATTTAACCCCAACCCTTACTTCCCCGCATCGGTCTGTGACGTTTTTTTCAAGATGTGCCGCCGGCGACTGGGACTGGGCTCGCAACCGGCTTTAACATTTCCTGGCCCCCCCCAAAATTGTGCCGCGCCTCTTCCCAACCACCACAACACACACACAGCTCGGCATTGTCTTCGCCAGCTCTGGCTGTGTCACTTCATGTCGCTCCCACTGCGCTGTCGACACTACACCACAGCACCCTGAATCGCTACATTCAGCTGTGCTTGTCTGCCCCCCATTTACGAATTGACTGCGTCATAAAACCGAAAGCTTTCTGGAGCTCACCGAAAACCGGGCGAAGGGCGATAACCCCCTGAGGCGCGCCTACTGATGGCCGACCCAGGGCAGAAGGATGACTTTCCCGACCTGTCGTCCTTTGACGACGATGTGTCGGTGATATCTGTGAGCGCCAACTTTTATCGGGCCGCAATGGGGCTCGGGAACGATGCTCATCAGCAGGGCAGAAAGACTAACCAAGTGATCAATCATGGTAGACTCGAGGAGTCGAGGCATTCGGCCGCAAAGTGACGAGCACGGCGAGCCATCTGATCGGTACTATTGCCGATCCAACCTCCCACCCTCACTACACCAGGGCCATGACCGAGGTCTCCCGTCAGTTGACGAAACCGTCTCTGCAGCGCACCATGTTCTCAATGGCGCGCACTACGCCTACCGACTTGGTCAGGTCCCGCCTCTCTACCACGGAAATACATTCGCGCGCTCTTGCCTATGTACCGGACGAGCTGCTCAAGAACATCCCCGAGGATGAGAACTCGTACTCTCTTTTCCAGGGCTTCAAAGCCAGCTTCCCCGAGTTCGCCGAGGATTCCAAGGGCAAGAAGCACAGGCGGCGTGTCTCCAGAGGAAGACGGCTTCTGGAGGAAAGGCCCACGACACCGGATGGATCGCCGGAATCGGTGCATAAGATCAAGAAGGAGAAGTCAACCATGATGCATCAGTTGGAGATGTTGAGCATTCGGAAGAATATGGCCAGCGCTGAGATCAAGGAGATTGATGCCAAACTGGAGAACCTTGTAGGCATGAGGAAGATCATCCTTGAAAGGCTGGCAGCTCTGGAGAAGGACGAGGCGTTGCTTGAGCATGATAGTGGGTCTTTCCCCTACACGGCATTGCCTACTAAGCTAACGTTTGACTGCAGTTGTCGAGGTTGAGACGAGATTAGAAGAGGCTCAGGAGATGGCTGTCGAGGCAGCCTCTATTGCCCAACACACACCGGCGAGATCAGAAGACGGGCAAAACGAGGATGAGAACGCACCTGGTTTCATGTCGCAATCCATTTACGAGAAGCTCCCATCAGTATCATCAGGAAGTGGCCCCGTTAAGCGGAAGCCGAGAAGTATCAGGAGGAAGTCGGCGCCGATTTTGCACGAGCACTTCGAGCCAGGAAGCATGATCCGCTCGATGCGCGCGCATCAGGACAGCATCACTACTCTCGACTTTGACGCCCCCTTTGGATTGATGGTTTCGGCTGCAATGGATGATTCGGTTCGTGTTTGGGATCTGAACGCTGGTCGCTGCATTGGTCTCTTGGATGGCCACACTGCTTCGGTTCGCGCTCTCCAGGTCGAAGACAACTTCTTGGCAACTGGCTCTATGGATGCGACTATTCGGCTCTGGGATCTCAGCAAGGCTCACTACGACCCGCAAGGCAGCAGCTTTGGTAAGGAGGAGGACGATGACGAGGACGCTCTTGCCTTCGAGAACCCCAGCGACTTGCCGGTAGACCCTCCTGCCAACAGCATGGCTGATTGCCCACTCTTCACCTTGCAAGCTCATCTTGACGAAATCACGGCTCTTCACTTCCGAGGCAATGTTCTTGTGTCAGGTTCTGCTGATAAGACTCTTCGGCAATGGGATCTGGAGAAGGGACGTTGCGTGCAGACTCTGGACGTTATGTGGGCTGCCGCGCAGGCCACTGCTCTCTCCCACGACAATGATACCTGGAGACAAACCAACAAGGCCCCGGATACGTCTGCGGATTTCGTTGGCGCACTCCAAGTCTTCGAATCCGCACTCGCCTGCGGTACGGCCGATGGCATGGTCAGGCTCTGGGATTTGCGCAGCGGACAGGTGCATCGCAGCTTGGTAGGCCATACTGGGCCTGTCACCTGCCTGCAGTTTGACGACGTACATCTGGTTACTGGCAGTTTGGACAGAAGCATTCGGGTGAGTGTAAATTCGAGGTTATTCAAGGGACGTTTGCTAACTGGTGGCCAGATCTGGGATCTCCGAACTGGGTCCATCTATGACGCCTATGCTTATGACAACCCGATCACAAGCATGATGTTTGATCAAAGACGCATTGTCGCCGCTGCTGGCGAGGATGTCGTCAAGGTATACGACAAGGTTGAGGGCCGGCACTGGGACTGCGGTGCTGGCATCACCGAGGCCGATGAAGCCAAGAGCCCTGCCATCGTGGAGCAAGTGCGCATCCGGGACGGATACATGGTTGAGGGTCGGCGGGACGGCATCGTTGGCGTCTGGACCTGCTAGTCCTCTGGGTCCCCAGTACAGAGAATCTTGTATAACGTTACCATGTATCAGTAAAAAGAGACGACAGCGATGACATTTGGAGACATGAAGTCAGTTTTAGGAACATTTCACGGTTTTAAAGGCACATATCGGATGAGCATGATCAGAAGTATACGCAAGTGAGGCTTAGACAATGATTATTTGTCCGTGATTCGGTTGCCGAGTGTTGTGCACAATCTCGAGGAGGTAGCGGCCGCATCACCCGCGCCCAAGTGTGTAGGAGGGCCAATGAAAGGGAAGCAAACTCCCCAATACGGCAGGCCCGCTATCTCCGGCCTTGCTGAAGCCGGGCGGAGGAGGACCGCATCACCGCCCCTGGGGCAAAATCTGCCGGACAAGAATCTGCGGGCCCGCATCCCGCGGATCCCCTTTTTCTAAGCTGTCTTGTGGTTTCTCGGGGCTACATCTTTTCATCCGAGATGCGGGCGGTGTTGGTCCTGATGGTTGCTGAGGCGGAAAGGTTCGACGGGACTACGGAGTATCAGAAGAAACCGAGAGGCTCAGCCCTATGTTGGTTTCTCGAGCGTAGTGGTTATCAAAGCTGAATCATGATGGTGAAAGGTGAAGGGAGGGATGTTAGGGTTGAGGTATAAGTATTCGTGATATCCGCCGTTTTCAACAGTCCAAGATAATCATCATCATCATCATCATCATATGATCATGATACACACCCGACTGTCTGTACAGTTATCACATCATACCATTTAACACGCAGAATCAACAAGCAGAATCACCAAGCAGAATCACCAAGCAGAATCACCATGGCACCCACCTTTGAAGAAGCCCTCACCTCTACCTTTACCCTCGCGCCTCCCCCCAAAAGCCCTCTGGCGCGCTACCGACTCCTGTCTCCCACAGCAGGAGTGAGAGTCAGCCCGCTGTGCTTGGGTGGTTTAAACATTGGTGATGAATGGTACGCCGCTTCCCCCCGATCCCCCTTTCCTTCCCACCAGAGTTAAGCTAACCCACATAAAGGAAAGCCCTCATGGGCGAAATGACCCAACCCCAAGCCTTCTCCCTCCTCGACTACTTCTACTCGGCCGGGGGCAACTTCATCGACACGGCCAACGCCTACCAAAAGGAGCAGTCTGAGCAGTGGATCGGGGAGTGGATGGCCCGGCGTGGGGTCAGAGATCAGATGTGTATGTCCCTCCCCCCCTGCCTTTCTCTTCGAGGGCGGAGCTGACGATAAAGGGGCGCAGTCATCTCAACCAAATACAGCAACAACTTCCGCGCCGGCCACGGCGAAACCGAGATCATGGCCAGCTACATCGGCAACGGCACCAAGTCATTACACACCAGCGTTCACGCCTCGTTAAAGAAGCTACAGACGGGGTACATCGACCTGCTCTTCGTCCACTGGTACGACTACGCGACTTCAATCCCGGAGCTGATGCAGAGTCTCAACGTGCTGGTCAATCAAGGAAAGGTGCTGTATCTTGGGATCAGCGACGCGCCGGCGTGGGTGGTGACAAAGGCGAATCAATACGCGAGGGATCACGCGCTTAGGGGGTTTAGTGTTTACCAGCTTATCCAAGGCCATAAACAGATGCGCATT